ACAATATGATCGCAAAATAATATCAGTGTATATTAACCAGATTTGTCATAAGAAAATAAGTGGTAAATATGTAGTGCCTTTGGCTTAGTTTAGCCGAAATCCACTACAGTATTTTGTTATTCTTCAAAAATAATTCAAATTTAAAGACCTTTTCATATATTTTTGAGAAACTTGGTATAAACTTTTACGTTGTTCTCATAAAAGTATCCATGGATACTTTTGATTAAACTTAATACATTTTTAAATGGAGGTTATTTAACGTTTTAGAGTTAAATTTAATAAAAAAAGCTATTAAATCAAAATTATACACGGTATCAAATTGAAAGCATCTTTTGATCCATATACAATAATTTGTTGATTGTAAAAACTGATAAATTCTGAACCACGTCTGTTTTGTGTTTTAGAAAGTCTCAGGAAATTTTGTATAGTTTAAATAATTACAAAATCAAATTTTATTCATACAATTTATTCTTGTGTACAAGGTTGGGAAATTCATTTCCACTACACCCAATGACAAATACTGTTTCATATTTACGATAAATTCGTTATTTTACATTTCAAAGTTTACTCTTCCTAACCAATACACTGATTTAAAGTTGAAAGTTTAACATTAGAGAGGTATCAGCAATATTGAACAGATCCATTATGGTTGAACGTAAGTGAATGAACAATCTGAGATTTTACTCTAGGATTACAAAGACTAATTGATCCCATAGCTCCGTCTGACCTAGTAACCCTTACTAATGGATCTGACAATTCTATTACCCTGTAACACTATCTACTTAGATCTCGCCTCACTTACTTTGCATGCACCTTGCAAGTGGAACTACAATATGTTGAATACATGAAATAGATGATAAAATGTATACGTTATAGATAAGTAGCCTATTGCAGACGACGAAACACCTTTCGGAATGATAGGTTTTTATGAATCTCTTACAAAAGCCATTAGTAACATATCCATCCAGGAAAAGCTATATTTGTTTATTTGACCAACTCAATTAAATATAATTTTCTAAAATATTCCTACTTGTATGCTACACAGAAATCAGGTGTTAGTCGTTTACTTTGTGTGCCTTTGGTATGACCACGACTTACATTGGCATTTCATAACCATTTAGCTATGTCAGAAGAGTCTTAATTAGTATTTCACACACATCCACGGTAAACATTACATATCATGCACATTTGGCCATTAACTACAGTTGAAAACTACAGCTAATAAACATAGAAATATTATTAAAATTGAAACATATTAAAACTAACTTATAACTATTTCGATATTCTAAAGATGAACATAGTTAAAGGAAGGATGGTTGAGTACCTTGGTACCTAAGTACAAAGATAAACGACCTAACACAGTTTGCGATGTAAGTTTGCAGGAGACTCTTTGTTGTATGAGCAACTCGTTATTTCATAGCCTCTGGAAAATCTGGGATCCTTTTAGGCTTAATGACTTTTGTTGCATGACTGGATATTATTTGAGTTAGTTTCATTACTTAGTGTGATTTAAGCGAAATTAATTGTATTATTGCGACTTTACCTGTTTATAAAGATTTGAAGGAAAATATTTTATGGGTGCATCACTAATTTTACTGGTTAACAGTTTTGGAAGCAACTTAAATAAAATAAATAATTTCGTCAAACCCATTGCTATATGGTACATGCATCTATAGACACATTCACAAAATTACTTTCCCGATGATAAAAACGCCCATATCAAAATTTGAAATTTATATAAGGTGTTCCTACCTATTTTGGATAGGAATGAACTGAACCACATTTGTAAGTGTGAGGTCAGATGAGAAAATGTTTAACTGATCTTAAATGTAGAATGAATAACTTATTCAGGCAGAGAGTAGGGTATAGTGTATAGCCCCATAGAATTGCTTCACAAATAATGCTTAATATCTGTGAGGGTGGGCAAAATTTTTCACAATCGTGCCCACAGGTTACTGATTAACTCAGTCAGTTTTGGTGGCCTCGTATTGAATTACGATGACCTTTGTATATGATTTTCCCCTGCGTAGAATAGGACAAACAATGTAAACATCTATGCAACAAAACCAGATCAAGTTAAAAGAGCAATATCATGACCAACATCATTACACACGAAAGGCAGGTATCCTATGAAGAATATTTTAAGATCTGAATTCATCAGAATTAAAATTTTATAATTGATATGATTACCTAGATATGAATAATTTATCTCTTAAAATATATATGACTAAAAAGAGCAGTAAATTAAGAATAAGTGTATTGAATAACTTCATAATGATATATTGGTTTTAAAGTATTGGTATTTAAACACAATCCAATGGATATGAAATTAATATTTTTCGAACTTTTTGTGATATAGTTTAATTTGTATAAAATGTATTATACCCAAAAATTATGACATATTTAATGAGCACGATACGTGCGATTGGTACTCACTATTTCTACAAAATCAAATAATTTTAACTAAAACTGAAACGAGTTTATACTCCTTGGAACCGCCTCTGTTGACAATGGAGATTTAAACATTCAGGTATGAAAATTAACGTGCAAAGTTTGGATTGGAGATTGGACTGTAAGGATTAGTTTTAAGCCCTCCCCAGCCCTGGTTGTTGGGCTTCGTTTAATCTGTAAGTAATTGGTACAGTTATCTCAATAACTTTAGAACAATCACACAGGTTTATGGCCACCAATACTATAATATATTATAGTTTGAAAGCAAGAAGGTATACTATACAGTAATAGCCAAAATACGTTTAAATAATATGTAAGCAAATTGTTAAACATTTTATAATTGATAGCTTGTAATAAAATATTTACCAGCTACAAAATACAAATCGATACATACACTTGTTTGTATGTATTGATAAAAGCTGCTAAAACACATTGATATCAATTACAAATTTTATAATGTCCCAGGATAACTTTGTGAGGATTCTCCCTCAAACATCTAATCATAATTTGAGAAATTTATCTACTGAATCATCTATTCTGAACAAAATGTCATTGTTACTATAGCTAAAATATACCAGTAGTAAAAAAAATATATATACCGTATTATATGCCCACGCCGCAGCCTGCAGACAAAGCAAATTTCCATTTGCCTGGTTGGATTTTCACTTAAATACTTCGCTCATGTTACATTTTTCTCTATTTAAAAAAATGGGGTTTAACATGTACCTAGGTTTGCCGATACGTAGAGGGTAATACAGTGGGTTTTAGGAGAATGTTATTAGCTTATAATAAAAAAATAAATAAATTTGCCAAATTTTATCAAAACATATCCATAAAAAAGCAAACTACAAAAGTTTACTTATTCTCCTTAAATAGAGCATGGTAATTTAATTTTTTTTTCATTTTTTGGATTTAATCCGTAACCAATAACCGTATAAAACACTTCTTTACAATGGACTTTTTGTTATTTTAAGCTCTTTAAAATAGTTTGAAGAGAAATTAAGAAATTCTATGTTTTGAGGGTCAAAAATGAGAAAACCGAAATCTGCTAAAAAGAAAATATATATTTAAATAAACCGTACAAGACGTATAATTTTTACGAAATTTTTTTGCATGTAAAAGTAAATCATTATTTCTCGCCCTAAGGATGAACTTTCATGTTTCATGTTCTTTGTTAGAGTGTGTTAAAAAACTGTCTAAAGGCATATAAGATAACGCTTAATTGGAATACAGCATGGCATAAAACATAACGAAAAGTAATCCTAAAATCCAAACCAACCGTGAATCGTTACTGTTGTTTATTAATTCCTAATGAAACCTAGTATTAACACAAGATTACAATAATTTCGACTACACGCCAAACTCAAAATATTCTGTAACTACTGCACCTGTTGCTCGAATTCGAGCAATTGCAAAGTATTACAGGCATTAATTAACAGTCATAATGTCCGATGACAAAAGAGTCAACTCATAGATAGTGTAATCAATCACTCCACTCCAGTCATCGAAACTGAAAACGATCTCTTTCTAAAAACGAACAATCTTGTGTGTATCATGTGTTTACGACGAACAGCCAGTGACGTAGCCAGGGGGGGGTGTGTCCTGGGGACTTAAATAATTTTTTTTTTATAAATTAAATGTAAAATTATATAATCATACTGTATTTACGTTGCGGTTGATTATTTTCAATGCATAGAGAGCTAATAAAGACCGTTTTAGGGCCTATATTTTTTTTATTTTCCCGGACCCCCCCTTTTACCGGACCCCCCGGTCTGTCGACCCCCCCCCCTCAACAGCTGTAATTAATACAAATTATTTGTTTGTTTAAGTAAACAAAATCTCTTCTTCAAAAGAAATACATTGGGATTTTGATTGCCTGTGGGGCAAAGCCCGAGGACTTTTACTACAGGAATTGGAGAAAGGGGGCGTCTAAAAAAAAAAAATACTCCATTTTGACACATCGTATGTAAAAATCCGTCCATTATTAAAGGAGGAGTAGAGTTTCGTAGAAATAGACTTCATGTATATAAATAAGGATTCCTTCTGATTTAAGGATATAATAAACTCGCCTTTTACCGTAACTATGTGTGGTGAGCAAAGTTCCCAAAAAGTTATCCGAAGGCAACAAAAATTATGAAATTCTGACAAGATTATGTACATTTAGCAAATGGTTTGTTTGGTCTGCCATATACTAAATAATTACACACATGAAAAGTGTAAAATAATATTCCGATTAGTTTGAGACAAATAAGTTATCTAATAAAGCTCGTTGGAATTCTGGTCCTAGCTATACATGTAAATAATGTTTAACAAAGGTGATATCTAAATCGGTTCTTTCAGAGATTTTAGAGAATATAGTTAGAAACAAATTGACCCAACGTATACATCCTAATGTATGCGTGTCATGTACCTTATGACTTGTGGGAGACGATTTAGATGTAGAGACTGTTGAGAGTTAAGCTTGTAACGCAACAGTTTGGAGCCATGTTTAGTAAGAACATATGGATCAATGGTAAATAGATTTGACATTTTCATATATCAATGCTTACTTGTCGATGAGTGTTTTCGATTTTCTAAGCAGAATTTCAACATCCTGACTGGCAGAATCATCAGAGGAGGACTTGTCCAGCAAGCTTCCATGGAGATTTACCTGCAAACAAATACACATCATCTAGCATTTTGGCTGATTTTAGGTCTTCCTACAAGAGTTACGTTGAACGGAATTAATCTAGCTATCGGCGATAAATTTTTGATTGTAAACTGAAAACAACATGTCGCATACCAATATTGTATTATTTCCACAAATTAACAAATCTAAGAAACATAATCGTTACGGATGGTGTATTTGGCCTCTGAGGACTTCAAAATGAAATACCCCAACCGCAGCAAACCTGCAGACAAAACGAATTTCCATTTAAATTACATTAGGTTTAACGATTATCTAGGTTTGCTGCAACAGAGAAAGTAGTTGTGGTTCTACTAAAATATTAATAGCTTAGTACTGTACAAGATAAATACAGGGTTAGTAAAAAGTCTGGAGACCCCCTGTTAATTTTTACCGGCCTATACTAGAAAAACTAAACTCGGCACACATTTATATCATGTTATGAAGTACTTTTTGGGCATAACCGCCACTTGGTGCAGCCTACATCCACAAAATGGGGGATTTTGGGGAAAACTCAAAAATTTCAAAGGTAAGACCCATCAAGTGACCCGTTATTTTGAAGTTACTGTTAAAATAAAACCTACAACGCAAACTAGAGGTCTCTATCTCAATCCAGTAAAAAATGGCAGCCAATTGAAATTCTCAGACGTGAAATTTAACTTACAGCTTTCCAAGTCTGGAGCGTCCCTGTACATTTTGTAACGGATCACACTAGATAAACTAAACTCTGCACATCTTAATGGCATGTTATGAAGTACTTTTTGAGCCTTATTGCTACTTAGTTTGCAAACCCACAATGAGGGATTTTGGGGGAAACTAAACAATTTGTAATATTAAGCCCCATCAAGTGACCCCTCATTTTTATGTTCGTGATGAAAGAAAACCACCAATGCTAGGAAAACTACAGGTCTCTAATTTTTGAGTTTCCCCCAAATTCCCCCATCTTTTGGGATGTACAGAAAGTGGCGGTTATGCCCAAAAAGTACTTTATAACATGCTTTAAACGTGTGCAGAGTTTAGTTTTTCTAGTGTGAGCCGTTACAAAATTTACAGGGGACTCCAGACTTGGAAAGCCGTAAGTTAAATTTCATTTCTGAGAATTTCAATTAGCTGCCATTTTTTACTGGATTGAGGTAGATACCTCTAGTTTGTGTTGTCAGTTTTCTTTTAACAGGAACTTTAAAATGAGGGGACACTCGATGGGTCTTACCATTTGAATTTTTTTATTTTCCCACAAAATCCCTCATTTTGGGGATGTACACCAAGTGGCGGTTATGCCCAAAAAGTACTTCATAACATGCCATAAAGGTGTGCCAAGTTTAGTTTTTCGCCGTTAAAAAATTAACAGGGTGTCTCCAGACATTTTACTAACCCTGTATATTTGCCATATTTTATAAAAACAAATCCATAAACAAGTAAGCTATAAGAGTTTACTTATACTGTTTTCCATAAGAATATCGGGAATTTTAAATCCATAATGGTAAAAAAATATTACACGGTTCCGAGACTTTTCAATCAAGCTGTATAACTAAATAAAATACAGACATAAATATAAATAAATGTAAATACGAATTTGAACGGATGGTATTTTTGGCCTCCAGGGACATCAAAATGAAAAAGTGAATCGTTCCCGGGTCGAGATCTTACTATGATACCTACGGTAATAGCTCATTCCCTGTATAGGAAATCACCAAAGGTAGTTTGATTTTATACCATATCATGTTATTCCTAGCAAAAGTTGAAAGTTAATTTTTAGATATTTCTGTTCACATTAAAAATTTAAGTTTCACCCAGTCAAGGCTAGTAGAGAAGAAGGAACAACTCCCTTTTATCTCACCCTTCTTTTATGTTGTAATACTAAGTAGGATTACCTTTAATCCACGCACTAAACAGAAGCAGCATCAAGTAAAGCTATAAGGTTTAAACTCGAGGATTAAATAAAGCCTTTATAAAGAGTTATTTAGTTGTGGTTCTCGTTTTATTTACTCTATGACCAATAGCATCTTTTAGATATAAACATTACAACGGGATATTATAGTTATCTATATAGCATAACTTGACATTAGCGCATTGAAATATAATTAATTTGAAATTGTAGTGTGTGTAGAGTTGTGTTAATGGATTGATATAAGGTCAATCTTTGGTGTCATAAAACAGATTAACATCATGTTTCGTTAGTCTTGTTTTGTTTTAACGAATTTCCAATCATAGGGAAATTATAGCCATTACTATATGCGGCTCGTTAAGACCTAGATATCCGATTTACGTTGTGAAGATTTTTTTTTGTTTTTTATCTGGAGGGGTAGACTGAAAATCTGTTAGTTATGACTGTGGCTATTATAGTCGCTCTGTAAGTTCACAAACACTTAAAAAGTGACAGAATTTTATTTTCAGAATACCAAATGTTAGGTTATCAAGGTGTTATCTACAATATGAACAAGTAATGTAGAATTCATTAGAAGGTAAAATGATACGTTGTTAGGTGTTGAACAAATGTAAAAGTTCATGTAATTTGATAGTTAGTTGCACTTTTAAATTCCAAAATTTTATCCTAAATGTTTGTATTAAATGCAAATATAAAAGGTCCGTAATGAGTTTGGGGTATTATAACTCTTTTCAAAAATGAAAAATACATACTTGGGAATGCAAGCATAATGAAGCAGAGTTTACAAACAAACAAAGCGCATTGTGTTGGCTGCGTATGTGATGAATGGAACTGTTGACAAATATTAATTGTTTAATTTGGCCCAAACAAAGCTTGAAACTAAAGGCAATTTATCTCCCCCACCATCCTATCAGGCCGAAGCACTCAGTTCAACGAATTTATGTTTGTGTTTTTAATTCGTGCAACTATTACAAGTTTATCACCGCAGTAACAAAGTTATCTGACATGGTGTTTATTTGCGGTTAGCACTTCTCATAAATGAGGTTCACAAGTTACTGAGTGGTTGTAAAATGGCAACAACAGCTGATCAGTCAATGATTGACCATTTTATTTTTTGAAAACAAAATAATGCATAGGCATTGACAAATAGTCTAAACATCTTTCAAAAAGAGCACATACAAAATGTTTAACATTAATAATTTTTGTGTTAGAAATGTAAACATTATTTCATTCTGAGAATTTCAGGATCCAAAGAAGACAAATTGGGGGTTTTAACACGTCAACTAAGAGATGAAAAGCAGAGCCACTTACGACAATTACAGCTTCAAAAGCCTAATCTTCTGGTTTCTCTCTTAGTTATGCTAACAGCGCCTGAATTTTCATCTACAGATGATTAAATATTTAAGCTTGTATACTTTTAATTATTTATTTAATCAATACTACGTATTGCAATATCTTAAATGTATAAAAAAAATTGTTACAAAATATTGTTGATAAATTTATTTTAAAGTAATGAATGTAAACTATGAATGTAAGCAGTGACAAGATCACACAGTTTTCTAAATGTCAGTAAAAGTAGGATCTGATGAGATTGTACGTGACGGGCTTGGTAATTACTTGAGTCAAGTGTTCCCTGAAGAGACGCTATTGAGTTGACTGATCTGATTTTCATTAGCAAGGGATGACGTGAGCGGGTCTGATGGTGCCGAGCCAGCCTCCAATAATTATATTCTTATTGTATAATAAATGGTAGCAGATACTTCCTCCACTATTAAATATTATCCGTAGCTACGGACAAATATTTTTTATAAAGTTAAACAAAATGAGTTGAAGTATTAATTGACTGATGCATTAACCAACTATGCACAGACAACACAAAACGTGCACTCACACTCAAAAAACAATACTTTAAATACTTAAAAATCCATGTTTTGTCTTAGAAATTCCGACAGGAATATAAACTCAACGAAATTAGAAAGAACAATATACACAGTGTGTAAATTAAGTCTTGAAACAAATCTGTATTTTTAAGGGGGTAGGGGGTGACTTATTTTTTTCAAATAGCAACCCCTATGTTAACAATCAATTCCAGAAACAGAATATTTCTATCTATTTCGGTTTTTAAAATACAGATTTTTTCCATATTTGTGAAATTGGTGCTTTTTCACATACAGTAAATCAAATTTTTGAATACCTACCATTTTAGCTAGGGGTGAGATATCCACCTCGGGTTTGCGTCATTGTCTTTTTTTGACAAATCCTTCAAAATGAGGGGTTACTCAATAGGGGTTGCTATATTTAAAAATTAGTCACCCCTACCCCTTACCCTGTTGGGGGATTTAAAAATATTTTTTTATGTAAACAATTACGGATCCTTTGTTAACAATCAACGACACAAACAGAATATATCTATCTATTTTTTTTATTTTTATAAAGATTTGTTTAAAGACTAATTTACACACTGTATATATTCATGTACAACGTATAAAATGAGAATAGATAATGTAAGTTTAAGGGAATCATAGTAACTAACAGGTTGATATGTAGTTATTAACTGTTGAGAACTAAATATCAACCGGTTTGAAACGAAAGAGAAAGCTTTTTTTTTAATCGTTGGAAACTATATTTAATAAAACTAACAATTGAGTAATAAAAAAGGTTTTCTAAAATCAAAATCCGTAGTTGCTGAATTCATCACTTCATAATTTATCAAAATGTATTTTAAGTAAGAAATTTTAAACTTGAATCGTTTAACATTATGTGCGTTTACTTCCTTGTTTAGTATAAACATACTTTAGTATATTGGTAAATTGTTACGGTATTTTATTACGAGAAAAACTATAAACTATTAAATGGCATTGTAAATAATAGAATGTGTAGTTTTTGTAATATAATAATATTTTGTTTTATAAAAATAAATCTCTTGAATAATAGACATATTTCCATCCTAACTCTAAAATTCCGTGTGAATATGCCATTTAACTAGCTAGGTGTGTACAAGTAAAATAGTAAGCCACTATTTAGCTACGCAATCCAAATAAGAGGACAAAACTAACGGGTATCATATCATAAACAGAGCGAAATTGGTTTAGATTCAGTAAAAGGTCGGATCAGGTAATTAATCCAGTAGGCCTAAGGCACTCTCAGAAGCGACGTTATCGAGTTAGCAATCTGATTTCCATAAGCGTCCACGAGGTGACAGACACTCTTGCAAAGCAACACATCTGTGTCACTAGCCACACTTCAAATACAACTGTATGATTACTTATCATGAACATATTTTATTTTTATTTGTGTTAATCAACGTCATTAGTAACTTTCAAGTTTTGTACACGATCCGGACTCTGGTATTGTTACTTTCTAACGCGAAACGTTTGATAAATCGCAGCATTAATTAATACCCCAATGATAAATGTTAAATATCATTAAGACCAGAATTTTTCTCAATTGGAATCGAACTAGCAGCCTTGAGATTAAATGGTGAACACAGTAATCACTAGACTACCTGGAAAATTTGTACGGAAGTAATTCAATAACTGTTGTATAATTAATTACTATAGCTTATAGATTGAGATGTTGAGATGTAACATTTCTACTTAAACTGGTTTCAATACACTTTGCAGAACAACAGTTGAAAAATACGTTATTTTAAGATACTGTAGTGGTGTGGTACTTTAAAATAAATAGGAAGATTTTCAAAAAATTTAGTTGGTCAATTTTCCTTTTCATAAACGTTATAAATCGTATATTTCATTACTAGGACCGAAAGTGGCATTTTCCGACACGCGCTCAAGTTTCATGTGTGAGTGAAAGTCGAACACAGGAAAACAAAATTTCACGTGCGAGGAAAAGCCGAGCATGTGAGATTAAGGTATGTTATATTACAATTAAAGCGCTTTGTCAATTTAATCTTTTTTTTCTAAACCACATAAAATAATCTTAAAAATGATATATTGTGTGGTAATGTATATTTTACTATTTAAAAAGACAATAAGAAAATAAGGTAAATTTTTCTATGCATATAATTAAAAAAAAAAATTGAAATGTCCTAAATTAGGAGTTTAAGTAAAATGTTATTTGCGAATAAAACCACAAAGCCGTTTTCCTCTCTGAACATAACAACTCTTAAAGAAGATGAAGCTTGCCAAGTTAGTATATAAAATAGACCCTCTAGCTTATGTCTTGCTGTGCAAACATCAATTAGTGTATTGTTAATATAGGTGGCAATGAACTGTGCTCAGCACTTTAGGTGCCTTTGCAACCGATATGCGTAGAATACAAATGTGCCGTGATAAACTATTTGGACTCTTATGAGCTAATTTGAATATTGAACCAAATCTATAAAAATAGTATCATAATTTGCAAAAACTAAAGCAAAACGGTTTTGAGTATTATTTTACTTTAAAAATACTACGTCATGGTCGATGAAATCATTAAAATAGACGTTGGGTTCAATAAAGTATATAGATTTTATAATATTCATAGTAGACATAACAGTTTGGTAAAACTTTTAAAATCTGAGTAATGACCTACACATTTTACAGATTTAATTTCCTTATTCCTTATAGTATTATCCATTTTTAAAATTTTGGACATTTATTGTTTACAGTTTCTGAAAAGAATAGCCAGATTAAAGGAAAATGCTTTAGAAATAAAGTACTGTATTGTCAAAGTTTTACACTTAGAGTACCATTTGCCATTCCGAGTAAAAAAGCGGTCCAGATACCAAGTTTTTTGTTAAATTAATAACCTGCATATTTTCAATAACATGGCAAATAAAAACACGTTTCTTTTGTATCTTGTTTATTCATTGGTAGCTGAAAGAACTCCCGTGAGGCTTCTGTCGTTAACAAAATAGGTTTGAACATTACTAACAACATACATTACAAAAGTGACATCAAGTTTCCTCTTTTATTTACGTGATAATTGGTTGAAGCACCGTTGTGAAAAATAATATTAACGTGCTTTATAGAAATGGCGATTTATAGGTGAAGTTTATATAAAGAAAGGTGAAGTGAAAAGCTTGCAAGTTATTATTTGATGTACAAAAAAAAAAAAAACAAGCCAATACTTTTATTGGCTGGGAATTTCAGTAGTTTTATTCTATTAATCCTGTACTTACGAAATATGTAAAGGGCTGTTAAAAACGTTAAACATAAAATGTATTTAAAAAATTTAGTTAAAATGTAGTTAAAAAAACTGTTTGATATGAAATATACTTTTTTGATATCCTACATTTATAAACTATGTCTAATGGCAACTCTTCAAATAATCCCTAACTAGTGCACCTGTTGTTCGAATTCAAGTAGTTGCAAAGTATTACAGGAGTCATTTTAAAGCGAGCACGATGTAACGGTTCAATGTAATATATATCTTGTAAATATTTTATCATTTTTCAAAAGCTGATCTTGTTTTCTACAATGTCTCCACATTGGGTTTTTCATGTTGATCTTTGTCATTGATCATTTAGTCTGCAGGGTACCACTATTGTCAGCAGTATGTTTAAATATTTCGGTTATAATATTAAATAGCGATACAATTTGTTCACATTAACTGATTTCCAGCATAAACTAAATCACATAATAAATTGTCTAATAAACTGTCTGTCACAGTTCTATTATCTACAATTGGCTATATTGGCAAGTTGTTGTAACGACGTCAATTATATTTACCTTAGAAAATGCAGAGTTAAAAGGCCTAATGTTGCTCAGGTGGTATATTTTGTTTCCTTAATTGTAAACAGTTAATAGAATCCTTCATTGGAAGTTTTAGTAAAGGTCTCTTGGATTTGTCGTATTCTTCTAAAACAACTTTACTTTAACGGAAACATAGATTAAATGTCCATGACGTACCAGTCTTATTAAGCATTAGATGGGTTTCCTCTGCAATTACCACATGTTAAGTTGATGTTTCCTACAAAGAATTGTAGCACTTCGGCTAACATCCTTAATCGTTATTTAAGAATCTTCATGTTGTAGGTATTTTTCGATATATAGGCTAATGATGATAAATAATTCTTAATAAAACATGATATAAATATCTTAAACTTGGTAGTGTTCTAAGACTTTCCTATATTTTGATAACTAGCAAATCAGTTCTTTCAATTATAGCTCAAGAAATATAGTACTGTGTCAATTTAGTTTTCTTTTTGGTGAAATGTGTAAAATTGTCCAGGATTTTTCGCTTTTTCCATTGTAATATGTACGTAAATCCAAATTCAAAGAGTAAATATTTTATTTCAGCCAAGTCAGTAATAGTATATTTCATAACAAGAGTAGAAAAGTGTGTGAGACCGTACGTTTTACGATATTTATCGAGCACTTGAAATTTGGTCAAGCATATTTAAATACCCACTTTCACTCGTGTTTTGAACGTTACTTTTCACCACACTACAAAGAATAACTGTTTTTAGCGAATTTCCCATTATAAGGAATAAGCTATTTTTAGTTAAAACATACATAAGATATTTCCTTATTCCTGTTATTAGCATTAAAAAACTCAAAGCGTTTTAAGTTAAGCATTCAATTTAAAGTTAGAATTTACATTTATTGTATTATTTTGGTTCTTGCAAATGAAAACAAATGGTTCAACAATAACAAATGTTTGTTTGTTTGCGTCGGCAAAATCCTAAAAAGATCAAAAACATTACTTTTGCATAGTAAACATTGTTTTTGCGTAGTAAACAGTGTTATGATGAATTTTCAAAGGCAATTATCGTGTAACAAAAAAAAGTCATTTCACAGTAGTGTAGCAAAAATGTTTGTTGCATGCGAGTCCTTGAATTGCAACTAAAATTAGATTATCCAGCTGACCATTATGCAAACAAATATGTTCTTCACAAGGATAGCATTGAAACTTTATAAGCCACTGGGGCAGAGTCCAAGGGACCTTTCTCAAAAATTTAAAACCAGTTTGCACACCAACGCAAACTGAAACTGAACGCTGCGCTGTAAACTGAGCGCTGTGTTGCGCTATTTTACACGCTCTTTGAAAAAAGACGCGAAACAATGGTCAAAATCAGTTTAGAAATGGCAGAGGTGCTCAGCCCACTCACTAATTTTGTGTTGGCGTATTAATTATCAGATTAGATAATTACTAATTATTAGAGTAAATGAGGCGATAAGGCCTACACTAGTTTTGTTTGCTCTTGTAAGGAAACAAATTTCAAATCTATTCCTTAGACCTTGACAAAACCCCTAATATTATAATCCAAATTAAAGAGACTTCCACTTAGGGAGAGAGCCTGGTATTTATTAAACGTTTCTAATGATTAAAGTAGTTGGGTGAAATCAAGAAAGGACTTGCAAAATAAAAGTTATACACGAGATCATACCATTTAAATGTGAGATATGCTAGAATTTTTACTAAAATGAAACTGTGTTCTCAAAATCATGTGGTAAAAATCACAAGATAAAAAAAATTGTTTTAAGAGATAATTATAATAAAATATGTACAGTAGTGATGTCATTTAGAACTAAACCACGAGGCTTAATTTTACTAAAATGCTAAAATAAATTATTTGATAACGCTTATATTTGGCAATATTTAATATTTTCTTTCCCATAGACAAAAATATATTTAATAGCAAATTTACTTACGGGGAATTTTTCGTGGTGGAGGTTTAGAAATCGTTTGACGCGGACAGTGTCGTTGCAGCGGATTGCACGCTCTAGCAGAACTGCATCAGATGACAGGTCGCCAGACGAGGCATAACTGGAACAATAAAAAATACGTTAGGAGAGTGGAGTCAGACTTTGGTAGTAGTATAGTATAGTAGGAGTTAGTACGTTGGTAGTCGCTGAACAAAAATCACAAAAACAATAAATACTACACTAGGCTAAAGCATTTAACTGGTTTAAAAAAAAAATACAGATGACTTTACATCTGGTGAATTAAAAGTTATATAAGAAATAGACTCAGTTCAGGCTTCTTTTACTTTTCAGATGTTTTAAGGATGCCCTGTTTCCTGGACGTAGTCTCTGGATTACATGTAATCTCATAAAATGACTCTCCTTGTCCAAAATATTTGATTAAGTCACCCAATTAACAACACAACATCGGCTGCCTTCCTGACAAATATGGTGTAGGATGTGTAAACTGTAAAGCAACGAGCTCGTTATTAGATCGGTCAGATAAAAGCTAACTAGAGGAAGGAGGATGTGTGATAGCGTCACGTAGCAGCTATAAATGTAGAGAGAGGGAAAATCCCCCCAGAGACAAGTGCCGGGATAACATTGCAATTTGTCTTGTGGCTTCACACGTCTTGTACTAATGTCTACACATCCAACGACGCACTCTAAACACTCATAGCTCGCAGTCTTCAGTGGTCTTGTAGCTTCACAAGTCTGCACATCCAACGACGCATTTTAAACACTCATATCTCGCAGTCTTCAGTGGTCTTGTAGCTTCACAAGTCTACACATCCAACGACGCATTTTAAACACTCAAACCTCGCAGTCTTCAGTGGTCTTGTAGCTTCACAAGTCTACACATCCAACGACGCACTCTAAACACTCATACCTCCCAGTCTTCAGTGGTCTTGTAGCTTCACAAGTCTACACATCCAACGACGCATTTTAAACACTCATACCTCGCAGTCTTCAGTGGTCTTGTAGCTTAACAAGTCTACACATCCAACGACACATTTTAAACACTCATACCTCGCAGTCTTCAGTGGTCTTGTAGCTTCACAAGTCTACACATCCAACGACGCATTTTAAACACTCAGTAATTTTACTGGAAGTATAATCTTTTAATTTCATAATTAGATATATTAACAAGTTACCTGTAAATGTCAAAATGAACATTAATTGTTAATTAATCAAATGTCAAAATGATACATTATTCAATATTATTAAGAAACTATTTATACATAGAGTTTTGGGATTCGTAATCAAATTTAATTTAAAATGCTCGATTTATGATTACAAAATATCAACGTAATGCAAATGCATCATGTGTGCTTAAGACATTTGATTCAAGTTGTTAAGATGTTAATTTGTAGTATTATAATTTTAATAACTTGAATGTTAACATATTTCTTTTATTATGCAAACATTCTTCAGAAATAAATCAAATATAATATCTAACAAAAACATCTTTAACACAGAAACAAGTAAGCTAATCGACACATTAATTTGACATTCATGATTGACAGTTTGACTTAAACATTGTTACTGACATAATATTTTTAGTTTTTAGTGTTTTTTTGAGGTTTTGCAGAAGCAGTCTTGACACCTAGAAGCATCGTTCCGACCTTCATAGGCTTAATTAGACCTTCCTAGCTGGAATAGTTAAGGTTATTTTACAGTTTGCTTTATTTTTATGTATCTCATATTTTACTTTAATGGATTACTGTTGTACATTTTTACGTCCAGCTTACCCACGTGTAAGCAAATAGTCTAATAAATAATCATAATTTATTTTATAAATGTTTTATAAACGGTAAACAGACGGGTGATGTTGAGATAAATGAAGTGTTTAAATCTCTCAACAGTCTGCTCTCCAGTGAAATAAAATAACAGATCGGTATACACCTTGTAGTCTAACATATCTTCCATCCGTCAGTTATTCATAGGCGACGTAGCATTTATCAGGACTGATGGTTTTGAAAAGATCGCGAAACCTTTCTGCTTTTGTTGCCGAACAAAGTGTTTGAATAGACAGGAAGCTTTTTGTGAAGTTGTCACTCGTTGTAAAGATACCCGTCAATGAAAGAGCTGTGTTAAACTGCTGGTTTACCAATATCTATTTTTTATATCGATGCTAGTTTGTTAAGATAGCGAATAGTATGTATTACATAAGTAATATCGATAAGTATGTCCGAAACATTCAAAGCTTCATCTGCAGATCAAAAGAATGTTTTTACCTTTTAAATTATTACTCTCCAATCATTGCTTGTGTTAACTCATTGATTTCAAACATAGGTTTAATGTTTAAGACTCGCCATGCAAAATAGAGAAAAATATTATCGAACGCGCAGAATAGAATTAAACTGAAACTTCCTTTTATCGCCATTGAATAGATATGTTTTATATAACTTCACAAGTAATATTAAATATGCTAAATCCAAATGCACAGTTACAAAGGCACAGAAGGCTACAATATTTCTTTACTCCCTCATCACAAGAGAGAGGTGTAGGGGGGGGGGAGAGATTCTCTCTGAGGACCGCCTCAAGAGAAGTGATGCGACATCGGCGTCGTCGTTAATCTCGTAATTGCTCTAGATATTTTATTAATATTTTTGATCTCACGAGGATTCTCCAAAAGTCTTAGCTTTATAACTTTACTTTTTCTTGGGAACCCAACATAATACTTCATTGCGTGGTCTAAAAGAAGTATAAAAGTACCCTGTTCCTTAAAAGGAATAACAATCTTACGTATACAATGTAAAAATGTATGCTGTATCAAGTTTCTAGGGATGGACTAGTAAGCTTTTTATGAGAGATATATTAAGAAAGAAATTAAAAACCTAGAATTACCTACGATCTATCATGATACATACCAGATCATTGAGTGTTCAACGTTGTATACTTATGTTATTCAGTGTTTATTTATTATATATTAGTAGCCAAGCATGTTTCTTGAAAATCTTTTTTCTCAGCTTGTGTGCATCGCAGGGAAAATCTTGGCTTACTGTCAGCAAAATATTTTTCTGTAGATGTGAAGAATCTCTTTATAAATTCAAATAAGCTCAAAAGCACAAAAATAATTTAATTTAAAATTTTTAAAAATTAACATGAGCCTTATGGGTTGCCCTGCTGGGGACGAAATAACAACGAAATGTAAACAGAAAATCAACATAAATAGAACAAATTCCAATCACATGTTTTATCTACAGCATGGGGTGAAAATAGAGAAGTCTATTACATATTTTTGGTCAAGCTTTCGACCACTGGACGACCTGTTGTTAATATAAATTGATATGAACATTTTATTTGGTACGTTGGTAAATTTTACTTCTTCCTAAAATATGATGTTTTCTCATTGAAAAAGAGATTTATATTTATATTCTCTTTTACACAGAAACTAAATGATTTTGTTTTATTTAGGCGTAGGCCTACGTAGCTTAACATTTATGTTAAGTATGATTACGGAATAATACTAACTTTAGCGTAAACTGACACGTGACAGCAAAGAATTATAATTAACAATTATAACAAAAGAATGGTACTTTACGTTTAGTCGTGTATATTTGAACAAACGATGCTTGGCCTGGGGACAAACGAAGAGAGGTTTACATAAAAAACTTATTTCATAAAATAATTCTTTAATATTATAGTACTGAACAATATACATTCACTTGTTTGTAAACCTGTCTTTAGTTTGATTATCCAACACCCTAATATACAGTGTTTTTTTTTTACCTAATAGGATTTTTTTAACCTGCTAACTGAATTTTCATGTGTTGATGAGATATTAGTAAGAAGATCAATTTAACTTTTAAAGTAACATTTTAAACGACTGTAAGAATTAACTGACTTTAAAAATAGTTTTAAGTGCCTTACGAATTATTATTATGTAATTATAATGAGTAGATAAATTATTTTATACTACAGTTTTTAGTACCTAATGATTTTTGTTTTATGCCTAAAAATTATGTTTTACTTTTTACAAAAAAAATCTAGTCAATCATAATGTAATAAGTCGACAACATGATCGGAAAAGCACACTGGTAAATAATTGGAACAGCATAGTATCCGAAGTTTAGCTACACGTGGCACCACATTCTGCTCGGGTAACTCATGTCAAGCAGTTGTTCGATTAGTTTTATCAAACACTCTTGTAGGAATATCCTCTAGTAGCAAATACTTAAATCATATCATAAGAACAATTTGAAAGTTTGATCTTTTAAAGTTGAGATTATATTAGAAAACATTAAAAACAAAAAACAAATATTTTCAGCTAGCCTTAAATAACAATAACTTTATAATCTCTTGATGACAAATATAATTTATTTGCATTATATTTGGCAATATTCGTACAATTATAATACCAACCAACTCTAAAAAACTTAAGGATGATCATGTTTGATCGATAGTTTTGCCTAGTATTGCATTATTCTACAACAACCTAAACCTTGTTTTAAAATAACATACAAAATAATAGTTGTTGGTTTAATATTTTTTAATCAGAATTAATTAATAAAATACAATTACTATGATTTCGTTTACGTTTAAAGAACATTTGGCCTAATTTATTCCTATTTAAAAAATGGATCTGATGCGTACCTGACTTCAGGGATGAGAAATGTTTTATTACAGCTTCCGTTTTACGTGGGCTGAAGCTGGAAGATTTGAATGTTTTAGTTCAACCATTCTGTCGCACACGACCCCCTTCATTCCCCTTACATTCCCCTTCTATACACAAGAATGCGCGAAGTTAAATATTCCTCTTAAGCAAATGTCACTAAATAAATAATAATTGAAGTTCTGGTTGTTCTGGTTGCAATTGAAGTATTAGGAGGTTTATGATTAATACATTCTCAAAGCAATTACTAAAAGGTTTTTTTTTACTTTACATGAAGTAAAATCCATTACAAAAATTATGGTATTGATTATTACGAATCCACTATAAAATCCAATTTTCTTCACTTGGATTTTCTTATTTCCAATGAGTGTGTAGGCAACAACAGTTTTAGCGACTTATAATTATCATACAAATTATTTACTTTTTCATTGTAAATATAAGTTGGTTTATTTTATTTTAAAGGT